CATTTGAGCAGCTGCCTGCCAAATTTTCGTAAGCATCAGGCTTTATCTTGCATTTGAACACACTGTTGGATTAAGAGCACTGATTCTGTGCAAGTATCTCAGTTTCTCTAGAAATATGGTATTATGTAGATTTTCTTCACTTTTTTTTTTCATGCAAGGGATCTAAGAGGAAAAGAAAATGTCCTGTGCTTGAGACAAGCCTGAGTTGAGGTTTCTTTCCTGTGTAGCATGTAGTTCAAGTAAAGAAACTGTCCTTGCACCTTGTAGCTAACCTAAGCTCAAGACCTACTCTTGCAAGGTAGTGTAGGACCTGGAAGTGCTGGTGGTAGAAATATGTCCGTACCTGTGCTTGGCTTGCCGTGCGGAGTGAACGTTGATAATCATGGAGTCCCAACCATCACTGAGGCTGGAAGCTAAAGCCTCCTCTGTGTTTTAGACAGAATTGTGAAATACTGTTCTTTAGCTTATTAAAGCTAGAGCTTATTGATGCCAGAGATTTATGACATTATTTTTAAATGGTAAGCTTAGGCCTTACAATGTGCTTTAATTTTAAATTACATGTTAAGTTGGCTTACTTAGTAATGTACTTACTATTTCTTTTATCCTATGTCCACTGCTGCTAAATATTTGTAATGAGTATTTGACAGGTTCCTCTGCAGCTACCCAATACACGTAAGGCCAAAGCGTTTTGCTAGATTTGTTTCAGTAGAGCAAGGCAGAAGAATAGCAGAAATGCTCAAAACCTTTATACTTTCCTGTAGCTTTTAATTTGTTGTGTGTTAATACCTGCAGTTTTTAGGTAGGAAAGGGAATTAAATGCTCAGTTTCTAGTTCTACCTGCTGCTGACTTCGGTATTTTGGAAAGGGGTGTCCTCAGAGCTTTTTTCACATTTAACTGCACGCTCCCTTCATAAGCATAAAATGTTGGCTTGTTTTATAATCGTCATAAGTGAGTGTTTCCCATTTTGACAAAATGGTGAGGTCGCTGTGTGCTCCTGGGTGGAGAGGCAGTGGGTGACATTAATGCCGCTTCCCACACCATGGCTATCACATGAACAAAAACTGACACCTGAGAAAAAAATATTCAATAAGGTAACTTTACTTTGGGTTTTCAGAAATGGCTGTGGACCTCCTTCAGCTAACTGTGGGTGGCCGGAGCCTATGTTTTGCTTCACAGCCACCACTGCTTGGTCTCAGACCTTTGTGTTGTCAGTGCTGCAGTGGCAAGCGAAGCTGTGCTACCTCTAAACACCTAAAGGCCCTTTTAACTTCCATTGAGTCCTGGGATTGTATTTAACACCGATGGTCGTTTTTTAATTATTTCTTTATGCTTTCAAACATATCTTTTGTTCTCTAAAACAAAGCTGACTCTAAAAGTGATCCCTCATCACTGTGCTAGCTGAGGCTTTTGTTCAGGGCTCTGGCTCTGCTAATTGCAGCATGCCACAGGCTGCGCCGAGGGCCAGGACCTGGGTCTTGGGTGTTCGCCCAGATATCTGAGGAGAGCCAGAGGCTGTCACCTGGGTATGAAGAGAATTGACTTGCCTGGGATTTCTTCTCTCTTCATTATAGCGGCCACTGACCACAGCTCCTCTGGCAACAGCAATGCCTGGCCAGGGAGGAAGGTCCACAGGTCAGCTCTTCTAAAACCTTGTGGCAGGACACGGTGCCAGGCGGGTGTCCTAAATAATCTTTTAAATATGCAGGAACATCAGATTAGGTCGCATAATGCAAAGCGGATGGAGCGAGTCCCTGCAAACACAACCGGTGCTGGGAAATGGCTGTCTCAATTTGAGAGGATGGGAATTATCCTGTTCAACAAAACAGTCATGGATTATTTTGTTTAAGGCTGGCTTCAGCTACAGGATAACGCGTAATGCTTGCCTAGCTCTTTGAGAATATAGTGTTAAATAAACATGAACTAATCCTCGCAAGAATGCATCCTGTGCTGGCTCTGCCTCTCCTGCAGCAGCTGCTGGCTAGGTCTGCTCCTAGGCCCCTGCCTTTCCTACTCATTAGCAAAAACACTGCTCTGTCATGGTTGTTTCATTTATCTCTAATTTATTAATGCTGAGAGTATTGACTGAGGAGGGGTGTTGCCTTACAGGAGCATCGAAACTTCTCAAGAATAATAAAATGTATGAGCAAGAGCACTGCTGTTGCAAACCTGAGTGCCACTTAATGCCCACTAACGAAGCGATGTAGCGCGGCTTGGATCTTCGCCATGGCCAAAGCGGCTCTGACTGTACGTGCCTGCTTGCTCCTCCCTCCTCTTTCCCCCCCCCTTCCGGGAAGCCTGTCTTATGCTACCCGAGCTTTTGCCAGGCAGTCCTGGCCTAGAAACAATTGTTTTGCCCTCACTTTGTGATCTTGTGGTGGGTCACCGCTCTGAAATGGCTCAGCAGAGGGTCCAGCAAAGTTGGGAGGAGTGCGTGGCTGGGAGGGTGGGACTGGGGCCCACTCGGCTGTGCATCAGCTACTTCAACCAGCAACGGTGTGGATCAGATCAACCACAGCAAGCGAACGTGCCCTTCCTTCAGGTCTCCGCAGGGTAAAGCTGAGGCATGTTAAAAGATCACTGGGGGGTGGTGGTGGAGACTGTGCTCGCTGCTGTGACAGTACAGAAGTAAAGTCTAGCTTCAGGGGGCTTGCACCAATTCTAGGAGTGTAAAATCAGTGCTTAAAGCAGCAAGGAGTACTGGTTTTATGGGTTTTCTAGGTGCTTAAGTTGTTCTGAAACTAGCATCTGGACTGATTGTGAAAGCTGTAGGCTGCTCGGTAAATATGCAGCTGCAGTCCTAGAACAGGTTGTGAAATAGCTGTGATTCTTTTTAAGGACTTCTTTGGAGAAGAACGAGCGATCCATACCAATATATGGATTCCCTCGGATACCCTTCTCGGGGAAATATGTAGGACAGTCACTGGGAGGGAAGATGTGTCTGGGAACGATCTCTTGCTTGAGGAAACCCACCCCATTTCATCTTTTCAAGAGCTGTAGGAGAATGTCCTTAGACCTCTGCTGTATTAAAGCATTTTGCCGTTCTTACTGCCTCCATGGGAGAAGGGCCGGCAAAGGTTTCTTGAGATAATAGTAGACCTCAGTTGTATCCTTTCTCCTGTTGATATATTGGCTGTTTGATGTGTTCCGGGTTGCACGCACTCCAGTGGTAGAGTTCCTCCTTCCTCCCTGAGAGATCTGAGCCGATGCAGTTTAGGGGCTTTATGCTACTGTCTGGGAGGCCGGAGGGGTGGGAGCTCACGCTGCTCCAGCCTGGTGCAAAGGAGTCATACAAAGTGTGTTGCAGGGAGAGTGTTGAAGTCAAGGGTGAACATTCTTCTTGTTAGCAGTGCTAATTACCTCTCTTTCAGTGCCGATATTGAGTTCCAAGGACCCTGGTATCTGGGGTTTCTTTGAATACCATCACATTGTGCTAACTGGGAGTTGCTCTGTATTCATTGAGGGAAACTGCAGAAAAAGCTGGCTTATATACCTTGAAAGAGAAATTTGGGGACAGAATGTGGATTTTATGGTTTAACCTGTTTGGTTTTTTTTTCTCAAAGGTACAGTGGAAAGGGGTGGTTCCAAATTTTTAGGAAAGCAATTGGCACCCAGTTGTGTACTGTCAAAACACATCAAACTGGGACGGTTGCTGTGCCTCTTCCTTTTGTGCATCTTTGCCAGTTACAGAATGTATTATGGAGGTGATGCGAGTTTTGCATTGAAGCTGTTCAAATGGCATTTCCAGTTCAGTAGGGAGTGTGTTTAAATCTGTTCCTTCTTGAGTATCTGAGCTTCAAAGCAAGAGCACGGGAGAGCTCAGAGTCCCTTTCAACAGGAGAGTGTACACAAGCACCGTTGTGTGCAGCTTTTCCTGCACTCGGCATTTCAAAACCAAGATTTGAGCCTCTTAAAATTGGGAAAAGAAAGCAAAAATAAAATCAAACTACTTTTTAAATGAAGGGAGTTGTTGGTTTTTTTTTTTCCTTTGCATCCTGGTCTTAATCTTTGACCTGCAACTAGCAGGGCTGGAGTGAGAGAGACAAAGCTGTGGATGGAGACCTGCAGGTGGCCCGTGAAAGGGAACCGAGTCCTGCAGCTGCCTTGTTTGCTGTGCGCTCAGTGTCTCGCAGAGGCCTTTGTCCTGCCTAAAGCCTGTTCTCAAGATCTGTTCTTCATTCATGCGCCTGCACTACAAATGCTTTTACAGCCCTTTTAGTTATTGCTTGCTTCTTTCCCTCTGGTACCGTGTTAAAAAAGGCTGAAGACACTGGAGCAAGTGTCCTGTATGTGGTTAGCAGGATTATGGTAGTGCTGTGGTGAAAGACAAGGTTATATTTGGATTTCTGTATTTGAACGCTCTCTGCTGGGCTGGAAATTCAGCCCTCGTGGAGTTGTAGCACGTAGGAATGAGAGGAAGTGAAACTAGATCTCATTTCACCAGCATGTTAAAAAAAAAATTAAAAAAAAAATAGAGAATTTGAATCCTTTGCAAGATGACAGGATTGTGTAAGAGGACTTTAAAAATGTTCGTCTGGCAGTGCTTCCTTCTTAAGCTGTGTGTTCAGTTTTGTTTTAACAAGATGTTGGTCCTGCATAGACATTTGAAGAGCTCCATGCATCGTAAGGTACGCTTGGCACATTGTTGGCTTATTTAATGCAGCATCCTGAGCTCTTTTTGGAAGTGGTTGGTGCCACATGCTCCTTCACACGCAGCGTCACTGGACTGCGCTCGCAGGGAGCGGGGTGTGTATAGATGCAGGGCTGGTGGGGTGGGTCAGGCTGAGAAGTGAGCTGTGCTTATCCTCTGGGCAACAGGGCTTCGAGTTGCCTCTCGGGTTAATGTTGCCATGTTTTGCTTCATCTCTCTTGAAAACTCATTCTGCTAGGAAGAACAGCTTTATTGATACTGAGAACCTCCTGCTGCCTTTGTGCAGATGCCTGACTGAAGCCGAGAGTCAGAATCTGTGCTACATCGTTCTTAATGTGCTTTCTCTTCTTGCAGGCGTGAATGACAGAGGAGGTGCCCCCGACTGCACTTACGGACGTAAACCTGCGTCTTCTCTGCCACGATGACATAGACACAGTGAAACAGCTCTGTGGCGACTGGTTCCCAATAGAGTATGTTACTGGTTTGGGGTGTGAGATGGTGGGGATCTAGAAACAAATGGTGGGAATCTGCACTGGTCCAGCTCAGAGCTGACACCAAAGGCTCTGCAACCATCTGGACTGTTGCTTAGACAGCAACAGGTTCTGAATCTTCTATGCACTGTGAGGGTGTTCCTTTTAATGGCCCTTTGCTGCCAGTCCTGCCAGGTTCTAAAGTCATCAGAAAGTTCCTGTATGCAGATTTTGGCAGAAAAATGGGCTTTGTAATCAAGGGGGTGGATCAGCTTCTTGGGAAAGACTGTGTATGAGACGAGGAAAGGAACACACCTCCAGGAAAAAGGATAGCATCCCCATGCTCATGAAAAGAACATTGTGTTCTGGAGTGTGTGCTCAGAAAGCACCCTCAGAGCTGAACCAAATCAACACAGAGCGACTGTTCCTAAGGGGCTGTCCCTCTGAACGTCCCAGAGAGAGACTGGATAGTACTTGCCTGTGTAATCAGGATCACTGTTGCTCCCAAAGCTCTGGCAAAGATTTGGCTTAAAGCTGATCTCAGTCTGTCCCGGGTCAGTTCCTGGTAAATGCTTGTATCTGCACAAGCATGGGAATAAGGAGCTTTTCTGGGGGACAGTGATAGCTTTCTGGCTTAAAGCACCCAGGAAAACTACAGCTGTAGACTTCAAGGATTATTTTTTTTTTCTTTAGCTTTGTTGAGAAGGTTTATAGAGGATTTTAGCAGATTATAATTAAGATTGCATAAAACCTAACAAACCAGCAAAAGCATTCATAATATTTTGAATTTGTAGATTTCTTTTACACACAAGGCATGCTGAACTCTCACTTTGAAATAAATTAGTGTCCGCTAGTTTCCCTTTAGTAGCTGCAGAAGGGGGAGGAGAGCTGGAGGCTGGTGATGTGATTTATTTTTTGTAGCAATATGCAGTATTTTTTTCACATGTGTATCAAATTAATGAGATCCTTACGCTCTTAGACGAGGGCAGATGGATCTTGCATTTAAAAATAACTTGCTAAAGATGGAAGTGAGAGCTCTGGGCAATGAATGTAAAATGAAAATGTGGTTGTCTTAGCAAGGCAGGAGGCCATTGCGTGAGCAGCCTTCATTACTGCTTAGATGTAATTTAAAGAAACCATGCTACCAAATGGGGTACAGCAGCTGTTTGATGTTCATTGGTACCATACAACAGTTAAGATGGGAAAGGTGAATAACTTCTTAACCCAGATTTCATGGAATAAGCTAAATCAGTAGCATAGAAGGAGCTTTAGATTGACATATGGCTGAGCTACTTGGCTGTATGTCTTTGCGGAAGACAGCTCTCTCAGTAGTACAGCTTCCCTCCCTTAGTCTTGTGTAAAATACATTGGCCGTCAGTTCCAGCGACTGACATTTAAAGATGCTGCTGCCCATTTCAGTTGAGCAGCATCTTGGCTCTGTGTCCCCAAACGTTCCTGTTTTTTCTTCCTTCCCAGGTACCCTGACTCATGGTACCGAGATATCACTTCCAACAAGAAGTTCTTTTCCCTCGCAGCCACATATAGAGGCTCCATTGTGGGAATGATAGTGGCAGAGATCAAGAGCAGGACAAAGGTGCATAAAGAGGTATGCTGCTAAACTGTGCTTCAATATGAGATAGGCCACCTCTTGCCATGGTTAACTGTGATGCAACTTGTTTGGGGTATTCCCCCCCCCCCCCCATCCAGACACTTATAAGAGTTATTCTGAGTTAATTTAAGAAACCAAGAACACGCCAGTTTCCAGCTAATGGAGCATGGGTGGTGGAATGTGTCTGAACACATGGGCTGCTGAGCAGCCTGGTACCACAAAGTCTCTTCCTGCTGGGGCTAGGCATCTATGGCCCGATGGGAAGCTTACTGCCTGATGTGCTGCGCAGACTCATCAGATCACACAGCCATAATCCAAAAGTGACTGTGTAGCAGGCCATTTAACTGCCGCGTGGCTGTTTTCAGTGTGCCTGGTCATTGCTGGTGACTGAGCTACGCACAGCTGTGGGATAACGAAGGGTGGAACTTCCTTAGCTGTACTGGGCGAGTCACTCTTGTGACTTCCTGCAGAAGCTTCTTCATTTACACAGTCACTGTCTTGAACACAAAGCAGAGGTAACCAATCTGAAGAAAGCTCGGGCTTCAGGGATACCGGAGCTTGAAGGTCAGGAGAGACAGCACAGTACAGCAGAGAGGTGAAGAAGAGATGTTCACTGGGAAA